CATAGGCACATCAAGCACTCTACCCCAAGTGTTGTGTTAAGGAGATTCTATGTCAAGAAAATACAATCAGGGGACATGGAAGTTAGGGACAAGGGGTGGCCCAAGGTCTACAAAGAACCCCTTCCCCATCATGATGGTCTACCTCATGTATGAGCTTTCACCCGCATCGTCAGAAAAAATCAAGGACTTAAAGAATGGGCGGTTGAGGAAGTTAGATTGGAAATGACTAAGTCTATACAAAGCACTACATCAAGGGGGACTAGATTTGGAAATAATGAAGAAAACAAGCATGAAGCTAAAGCATGGGATGACAGAAAGGTCTTCTTAGGAAAGGATGTTGTAGGACCACCAAACCACAATACATCTCTCTACATAACAATAGTTGTGCATGGTATGAAGTTAAAGAGAGCCTTAGTAGATCCTAGGGCATACTTGAACATAATGCCCATGACAATATTCAAGGACATGGGATTGTCACGATGTCATATCACCCCAAAAGCCATATGTGTTATAGGCTTCGGTAATGGCAAAGAAACAACCATTGGCATTGTAACATTGACACTCCAGGTAGGGAGCATGAGCCTCCCAACCCAATTTCAACTCATGGATACTTGGACAACCTACCATGTATTAGTAGGCCAGTCATGGATTCATTCGTTAGAGGTTGTGCCATCAACTTATCACCAATGCCTCAAGTTCATGCACAAGGGCAAGGAGGTTTGCATTCCTATGACTAAGGATCCATTTTCTAGAGAAGAAGCCTACACGACTGATACTCCCTTCTCGTAAAAGGAATTGAGGGGACACGAGTGTGTAATAAGCACCCCGTTGCCCCGGTGGGAAGATTATCAACATCCATATCCAGAATGCAAAGCCCAAAAAGCTAATGACAAACACTCTAGCAGGTAGAGAGGCATTTGCAACAAGTGTGTGAAACATCTCGTGGCACACATTCGATGGCTCTGCCTCCCCCTTGTTCCAAGAAGAAGCAAGACCAAACTGTATATGAGTGGATCTCCAAGACTAGGGCACCCAATGGGAAGATAGTGTACCAGATCTAATGGTGTGTGGGGCCCTCCATGCCTGGCAAAGGAGGAGGCCTCGAAAACATGGAGCATGAGGAACAAGAGGCAATGTTTGAGGATCCCCACTCATGTTAACTAGAGAGTCAATTAATAGAGGAGAACCTGCAGACTGTCAAATTATTCAAAGACGAAAGGATGTCTAGACCAGTCAACATAAATGCCGAATTGGCCACCCAAGAGAAGGGGCAACTGGTTGAGTTGTTGAAAGAGTATATAGACGTGTTTGCTTGGATGTACGATGAAATACTCAAGTTGGACCCACGACTTGTGGTGCATGAATTGCGAGTAGGCCTGAGAACCGTGTCGGTCAAATAGGCACCTCAAAGTTTTTAGTTGAGATAGAGGCACAGATCAAGGAAGTAGTCAAGAAATTACTCGCTATTGGGTTTATTCAATCTATCCAATTCCCCACTTGGTTGGAAAACATAGTACTTGTTCAAAATAAAAATAGGAAGAATGGTTAACTTGGTAATAGGCTAACCACCCTTAGATGATCAACTCGGGAATAGGCTAACCACCCTTAGATGGTTAATTAGAAAGTAGGTTGACCACCCTTAGGTGGTTAACTCGGATTTAAGCAGAGCCTTCTTTGTTAGTAGTTGAAGCAGATATGGATATGGTTAGACTCGGCAAAAAGTTGACCCAACCCAACCCGAGAAAACAGGATTAGGGTCTCATATATAAATACCCAAATGTGAAAATGACCCGACCTAACCCGACCAAAAAAAAAAAAAACTGGGTTGGGTCATGGGTCAACCCGCTGACCTGATTGTCAAGTCTAATTAGGATTATTTATGCATTGTTAGAAGTTTCCACTCTTACATTTTGTTCTATTTAGTCTTTACTTTTTATTGTTTATTCTTTAAATTGTTAAATGTTCAAGTTTTTTATATTATATTTGGAATTTTAAGGTTAATTATTTTAATTTTGACATTTTCCATGTAATTTTTCTTTATTTTTTAAATTTCAATTATTTTTTGGGATGACCCAAATTGACTCATGGATCAACCCTAACCCGAACATTTAGGGTTAGGGTCTAGAATTTGACAACCCAACCCGAAATTCAACCCGATCCAAAATCAATCCGAAATACCTTAACCCAACCCAATTGCTAGGTCTAAATATGGTCCTCAAGATTGGGCCAACCCAAAATCATGAAGGAACCAAAAGCAAGAGGGCAGTAATAACGTCTTCCAAAGGAAAAGGAGCGAGTATGGGTGACAACTAGGCCATTCTTCGAAACAACCTAGTGGTCAGGGGGCTAATTGTCGCAGTCAAAAAGATTCGGAAACTCATAGCACACCACATGTCACCTAAAGAAGGGCGATTGAGCACAAGAAACAGGTAAGCCAAAACCATCCTGATGAATCGTGAAGCATAAGGAACCTTGGGAATGGTAGGCCGAGCAAGATATGGTGGAGGGGGGGACATCAGGAAGGTGCCATGTCAGCCAATAGATGAGTAGATGTGTTATCATTAATGACAGCATGGCAGAACCGGGACAGGACCTGTCAAGATAAGGCTTGTAAGAGCGATCCTTGGGGTAGGTGGGATCCTAAGGGAGTAGGCATAATAAGCAGCCTAGGATTCTACCAGGACTAAGGCCGGGGCAAAAGCCTATAAAAGGCCGTCGGGCCCACGAGGGGCAGGATGTCAAGGGGTGTCTCTCTTAAAACCCAAGAAACTCTGAAAACCCAGTCTACAAAGCCCAAAATTTCCCTCTTACAGACGAGCCCGGTTCACTCGTCAAAATCAGGTTCCAACCGGCCTCTTTGATTCTGATACCGTGATACGTGGTTGTATCAGGTGCTGAACCTCACAATAGCTAATCGTGCGAGTTTACTTTGAGATTAAAACTCGATTAGAATCAAACTTGAACTGAGTCTAACAGGACCATAACATTCAACGCTCGATTCAAGTAATTTATTTGCAAAGGAGCAGTTACCACTCAGCAGGAACAGTTCAGAGTTCACACTAAGCAATTCAAAGATGAAACATCATCCAAATCCTCCTGTCGTCAAGAATCATCCCCACTTTCCTATTTTCCTTGCCATTATCCATCAGGATAGCCTCGTCATCATCGAGTTGAAATTAAAAGCAACACTCAATCAATTAGAAAACAAACAACTCGGCTCTCATTGACTTGGACAATCTAATAAAAGCATTAAGTGACATGCATGAAGAGTATTAAAAGATTTTTTTTTTCTTTTCTTAAACAAAAACAATTGCCACATCAGCAAAACAACCAATCATATTATCGAACACCCCCTTAATTAATTACAAATTGAAGAGCCAATTTAAAATTGACCTGGTCCTTCTAAAACAGTGATGGCGACGCTAATGAAATATAATTATCAAATTTGGGTCTACGGATGTCATTCCATCATTTTCATCATCCATTTTATATTATTGCTAACTACCACCTTTTCATCAAATTTGACAGCTGGCATTAAAAGTTTTGCCCAAGCTCATGTTCATGAATGATGATTTGTCTTTTTATGCTAATGCTATATTATGCACTGAATAAAATGAAATGGCCAAACAGGATTAACAAGGCTTAGATGATGATAATGATACAAAACTTTAAATTACTTTATTATTAACTGCAATTTCTTCCTTATTATGTTTGCTTAATTAAGAATTCCACTTTGTATGCAAGCTATATTGGAGGAATTAATTTTCTTGTTATAATTGATGCTTTTGTTTTCAGATACGTGTAGAAAGCATATAACAAACTTTGAATTAATATTTAATGGAAAGTCAACTCTTTTTTGGCAATGGTGGAAGTGGGCTCTGTGGCCCCAACTTGCCACATGTAAAAAGGTGTGAATCCAGAAGCAGATGATGAAGCCATGGAAGACATTTTGGACTCTCACACATATTACACCACACCTCCTAAAACTCATGTTTATTTGTGCAAATGTACTGGTTTAAGTTTTTCCTTGTTGTGATTTGATTAAGGGAATGCTGATGGGTTGGTGGATTGCCACCCTAGCATTCCTTTAACATGTTTTAATTTTGTCTAAAACCCTTAAAGAGCAAACTTGACTTCTTATTGGAATAACAATCAATATCCCTATTCCAAAATTTCAACAATTGACAAATTGAATAAAGAATAAGATGGGTATCTTTATACAATTTTAAGTATAAATTAAAGTCAAGTGTTAGAATTGATAATGAATTTATTTATTTTACCCAAAATCCAAAAGAAAGAATAAATAATAACTCCAACTGTGGATAAGAAGGCCGATATCCATAATTAAGAATGTAGACAATGGCATACATAAAAGTTTTTTTTTTTTTTTTTTTTTCAGTTCCAGAATTGTTGAGTAGGGTGTTGAGCCAGTCCATTTGTTAATTATCAGTTCCCTGTAATAAAAACATACCAATCCAACGGTTTTCACATGATAAATACATTGGATAACCAGCTGAATCTATTGCAACAGGCCCCTAGTTTATTTTTATTTATTTATCTATTTATTTATTTTTGTAAACAAAAGTGGTGGATCTAAATTGGTAAACACATCCAGTCTAGCTACAAATTAAATGAAAATCATTTATTAAATAGCATTTACGCATGCAGCAAGTAGTCAATTGGCCAGATAGCTAGAAATTCTAGCTAGCAATCTCTGCAACAATTTAAAATAGCTATTGCTTCTTATAAGACCTCTTCTGGCCAGAATATACACAAATATATTATTAGCTCCCTATCTCCTGTTAGTTAGCAGAACCTAATCACCATCAGCAAGTTGAGTTGTTGTGAGTTATTTTATTAATAAAGGAGAAAAGTCAAATGCTTGAAAGAAGTTGGAACAAGTCAAGAAAGCACAGAAAATATCTACAGCTTCAAATTATTTGGCATCTTACAAAAGGAAATGCGATATCTATAAAATGGGTTGGAATTTGGGACACCCATCGACGCTTAAGCAGAAGGCAGAGATAATAAAGTAGCCTAGCTAGCCCTCAGAGTCAACCATGTCTGGGGAAGAAGGGCGTGGTGATGAGTATACGCAGGATGGGACTACAGACCTCAAAGGCAACCCAATACTTAGATCTGAGAGAGGTCGATGGAAAGCTTGCTCCTTTATCATTGGTACACATATACTGATCTCTCTTTCTCTTTTTTCTGTGTTTCATTCATAGTAAAACCTCGCTCTAATGTGGTATTTGAGCAATATGAAGGAGCTAACACTATCTGCCTTACCTCCTTTTTCTTTCCTTAATTTGTTGCTAAGAAGCGCCTTCACTTTACTAGGGTACCCACTAAAAATTTGAGAAGGCATGGTCAGTTGGTCATAGTTATATTTTCACCTACATATTTTCCTTTTGTTTGATTTATTTTGGAGGAACAGAAGGTTACCAATCATAGATCATGTGCCTAGCTAGTAAGATGTTTTCAGGAAATCTCAAAAATTTACTATCTTTTTTTTTGGGGTTTTATGAACTTAAGCTTCTATCTTCTATGTTACAATAGAAGGTAATAAGGCTAGAGGAAAATAAGATATTTTCTCAAAGTATTTGAAAGGCTTCTTGAATTGGGTTAATTTAAGGATTTTTCCTATATTGTCTACATGGTCTGAACCATCCATCAATTAATTTGTAGGTTAATTAATGTTGCTCCATCTTGTGTTCATGTTTTCCCTAAATATTATTAATTTGAACTTGAATATCCCACATGAAAAGGCTTATATTGGACAGAGCTTTGTAGCAAATTAATTAAAGCACTAGCTTAAGTATGGTTGTTTCTGTAAAAGCTTAGACCATGGATGATGTGGAAAAAAAAGAAAGGAGGGATATCATTGAGAGTATGAATACGACAGATACAGTATGACTTGATCAATACTTAGAGAGATTTGAGAGCTTCCATATATGAGTACTTTGTGCAAAATTTAATTTCTTAGCAACATTTCTCTTTGGGCATGTGCCTCAGTGGTTTTGTGTTGACTTTTCCAGTAGTGGTTTTCAAAGCAGAAAAAAAAAAAAAATCAAAAAGCCTATTTTGGACGCATCAGACATGACAATTCTTTTTTTTTTGTTCCTCTTTGGACCTTATTCCACAAGGAATGTAGAGAGAGAGAGGGAGAGAGAGAGAAGTTGCCACATAGGTATATATGTACTAGGTCAAAAAATCATGGTTTTTAAAACTGGACCGGATTGGATGGTTGGATTGAAAAAACTGGGAACCGGTCACTTGATCGGTTCCATTTTTTCCCAAAACCGTTGATTTTGTCAGCAAACCGTTGAACTGTTCGAACCGTTTTAACTGTTTTTTAATTTTTTATTTAATTTTTTTTGTCTGAATGGGCTGACTGTTTGAGTCGAACGGTCCGACCGTTCAAACCAATAACTAGACCCCTAACCGGTTCAGTTTTAAAAACCATGCAAAAAATGATCACCCCTAGTTCGGGCCTCTTCGACTTTGCCAAAAATTCACTTTCCCATCCATACTTGAATAGTTGAATTTTTCTCCCAATAGAAAATTTTGGCTTTTTCTGTGCCCCTACAAATCTACAATATTTTTTAGTATTTTATGCTTAAATAGATCAAATTAATTTCAATATATGATTCTTTAATTTATTTACAATAATTTCATAATATTTATGAATTGGATAAGATGTGGGTCTCACGTTTGCTGAGTCAAACTGATAATTAAATACCTAATCCATTTACAGCGACCTAGCCATTCAATCCCAACGTACCCCAGGCGATGTGTTACTTCAAACACAGCTATGACCTAGCTATTAAATAATAATTTCTCATTTGGTTCTTTTTCAAACATATAGAACATGCCATGTTTGGTTGAAGAGATGCTCAGTTTGCTATATCTCGTCAGTTCAATTCTTGTAAGAAAGGAATTCCGTTTCGTTTTCCCACTTCTGTTTGTTATTAATAGTTTTACAAAATCGATGGAAACTCTTATTATTATTAGTTTTGTTTGTTTAAAATGGGGCAGTGTATGATGTATTTGAACGTATGGCCTTCTACGGAATATCATCGAATCTGGTGATATACATGACAAGGGAGCTACATAAGGGCACGGTGGCCTCGTCCAACAGTGTCACCAACTGGGTGGGAACCACCTGGTTGATACCCATCTTGGGTGCCTACGTCGCTGATGCACACCTTGGCCGTTACTGGACCTTCCTCATCTCATCCGCCATTTATCTCTTGGTAATTTATTTTTATTTTTATTTTTTTTATTGCTTCATACTCAGTTATCACCTTTCACCTCGGTCTCTTGGGATGCCCCAAGGTTGTGTTTGATTCATCGACTCAGTGATCTGAGTTGGAATAAGATGAGCATCAAGACTCTTCTGTTAACTGCAATGGCACCTTGAGAAGAAAATACTCTTCTGTTAATGTTTCTCTCTCCAGGTGGGCTAAGGGAAAGTCGGGGAATTTTAATAGTAAAATCTCTGAAATTGAGGAAGCTTTTGCTATTATTCAGCATGATGTCAATGAAGAAACGAAACTCCGAAGTGAATTGGATTCTCTCTTGGAGATCCAAGAATTATACTGGAAGCGGAGGGCTAAAGTTGATTGGCTGCAGAATGGCGACAGACAAACAAAGGTCTTCCATCTGATTGCAACCAACAGGAAGAGAAATAACTATATTGGGTGGCTGAAGGACAATCATGGGAACTGGACATCAGATGACAAAGAAATTAATGATTTGATTAACTCTTATTTTGTCAATCTCTTTACATCTGATTGTCCGGATTTCAGCAGTCTTGATGCCCAAGGTTGTGTTTGGGTGGCCAGAAAATGAACGAAAATGAGGAATCTAGACTAGAATATACTTTCTGTGCTGATTCATTTTGTTTCTTGCGGGTTAGCAACTATCTCTTCTGATTCAAAAACCAAAGAAATTTGGTGGGTTGATCCGCAAGTTATCAAGTTTAAGAGTAGTTAAATCATGATCCGTAATAAATGGTAGTTTGATTTGATTTCATACATTACAGGGAATGGGCCTTCTAACACTGGCCGTTTCGCTCTCTTCACTGAAACCACCTCCTTGTAATCAAATAGACGTTACAAACTGTAAGAAGGCCTCAACATCACAAATGGCTGTGGTCTTTCTTGCACTGTATGTACTTGCAGTGGGAACGGGTGGAACGAAGCCAAACATCTCCACCATTGGAGCAGACCAGTTTGATGATTTCGATCCAAAGGAGAAGGCCCTTAAGCTCTCCTTCTTTAATTGGTGGATATTTGGAATATACCTTGGCACACTCATTGGAAGCACCTTCCTTGTGTACGTACAAGACAATGTGGGCTGGGCCTTGGGCTATGGGATTCCAACGATTGGGCTTGCAGTGTCCATGATAATCTTCATGGTGGGCACACCCTCCTATAGGCACAGGGCGCCTACAGGGAGTCCTTTCACCAGGATGGCCAGGGTCATTGTTTTTGCCCTATGGAAATGGAGGGTGTCCATTCCCAGTGACCCGAGTCAGCTCTACGAGCTTGACCACAAGGAATACGAAGCAAAAGGGAAGTTCAGGATTGAGCATACAGCTTCACTGAGGTTAGTGATGGTCTGGTAGTTTAATTATTTATTAGTTCTGCAACTTCTTTAGTTTTGTCTTAGTAAAGTAAACCTGTTCGTTCCTACAGGTTCTTTGACAAGGCCGCTGTGCAAACGAGCTCAGACTCTCCATGGAAGCTATGTCCAGTGACCCAGGTAGAAGAGACCAAACAGATGCTGCGTATGATCCCAATAATGGTAACAACATTCGTTCCCAGTATAATGTTCGCTCAGAGCATTACCCTTTTCGTCCAGCAAGGTGTAACTCTTGACAGACATCTGGGGAACTTCCGAATTCCTCCTGCAAGCTTGAATGGATTTATAACGATATCCATGCTCATCTCCATCGTTATATACGACCAGGTATTCGTTAAGGTGATCAGGAAGTGGACCAAGAATCCGAGAGGAGTCACCCTCCTTCAAAGAATGGGAGTTGGTCTTGCTCTCTACGTTGTGGTCATGTTGGCTGCATTTCTGACTGAGAGGAGGAGACTGAGGGTGGCCAGAGATCATGGGTTGGTAGAAAATGGTGGAGTGCTTCCTCTCAGCATACTCACCTTGCTCCCTCAGTTCGTGCTCATGGGGGTGGCTGACGCATTTCTAGCCATAGCAACCACGGAGTTCTTCTACGACCAGGCGCCTGAGAACATGAAGAGTTTGGGATCTTCTTATACCATGACTAGCTTGGGGGTCGGAAACTTTCTTAGTACATTTGTTCTCACGACTGTGTCTCATGCCACCAAGAAGAATGGCCACAGAGGATGGATTCTAAATAACCTCAACGCCTCTCACTTGGACTACTACTACGCATTCTTTACAGTATTCAACTTCTTGAACTTCATCCTCTTCCTTGTTGTGTCAAGGTTCTATGTTTACAGAGCAGAGGTCTCAGATTCAATGCAAGTGCTTGAGAAGAAACTTCGAATGTCATCACGTAAGGCCACTGTCACTAACAGAGAGGAGTTAGGGAGATAGAATTGGATCAATTAATACTGATCAGTACTGGATTTAGTGAGAACGTTGAAATGAATTTAATTGGGATTTTGATATAGCTAGAAGCTATCTTCTATCTGGAAAAAAAAATGCTACTTCTGAGTTCCTATTTGCATATCAAGCGATGGATCGGATCATTCTTGATGGGATCTGATGTAACCGTTTTTGGTCACGTACCATTTTTTGTGATGTATAAATTTTTTGGCTAAGTACCTCGTGTTTGACCTGGTGGTGACGTGCCTTGGTGATGAGCTACTTGGTGGCGAACTCCCTAGGGGAGAACTACTTGGTGACGAACTGCCTGGTGATGCTCCCTGGTGGCGAACTGCCTGATGGCGA